ACTTCCTTAACTACGAAGCTAGAGCACCATCGTCCAGCGCCCATCGTTCCGGGAGGGTGGTTGGGGCACCTCATATGGGCAAGGGTGACTGAAGACTGGCGGATGCCTTCTCACAGGTGGAGGCAAACGACGTGCAGCGGGCCCTAATCACCTGGTCCAGAGATGTTCTTCAGTTCTACAGATCCTGAGAACAAGGATTATTTCCTTGGGTTATTCTTGATACTTGTTTATTCACAGGCAGGTCCTGATATTACTTGATGAGCAGTGAGAGAAGAAGTGGCTGTTCTGAGGCCTCTTGGGGATCAGCAAATTCACAGCAATAAGGAAAATAAACTTGACCTGACTATTGTGAACGATAATCTTTAAATTAGGTTAAATGAGGAACCTGACTTGAGATGCGGGTCTCATTGCTCGGCTTCAATTTCACCCTATCCTTCTTGAACCCCCCTAGAACCTTCTAGAAGGCAGGTTTATTAATCATTTGCTTGTCTCTGGGACAAAATACCTGATATTTACAACTATGAGGAGGAGATTTATTTTGGATTAGAGTTCAGTCCATGGTCAGATAGCTCCAAGGTACAAACTGATGGGGGAAGGGAATGGAGAAGAAAACCAGCTCAGTCCACCAGGGTAGCTAGTAAGGAGACAGTGCACCAAGAGCAAGGGAAAGACAGAGAGGAGGTGCCCTACAAGGCTGCCCCCAGTGACCTGCACCCCCAGCCAGGACCTCCTTCCCAAGCACACATTTAGCTACAAGCTCATGAAGAGGTTTAACCCACCGGTGAGCACATCTCCTGTGACCTACTCACCTTCTGCAGCCTCGCCACTGAGTACATGGGACTTCGGTGGGGCACATCCAGTTTGTACCCATGGTGTCCTACAGACCTAGCTTTTTTTTTTTTTTTTTTAGATGATGGAAAAGGTTCTCTGGCTTTCTGGACAAGTTTCTCCAGTTTGTTGAGCTAGCAGACGTTGCACTGGGGATTTAGACCTAGGTCTTTCACTATGCAATCTTTTCCTCTTAAAGTTTGCTTTTTAAAGTAGCTCTAAAGGTAGTTAGAGTAGGTTGCGTGATATCTATATATACTTTTCTGATATGATGGAAGATGCTTTATTTGGTGTTCCTTTTGTAATGAGACAGGGAAAATCCCTTGCTAGACTCCTTTTGTGTTTCTCAGTTTACAATATCAAAGTGGCATTCAAAGCATCTCTCCTTTCACCCTGGAATCTCCCCCAAAGATTTCATCAGCCTTGTTCTCTGTCATTTCATAGTAAAGCACTGCTCCAATACATAAGGGTATATATTTTTTATGTATATACTCACTTAAATGTCTTCTGTATATAGCTGAATTAAAAAGTCTTAAGGAATGGGAAGTTGTCACAAATTTCAGTCTTTGACAGTATGCTTTTTCTAAAAGCTTATATTCTTAAAAGGGTGTCCCATGATCCCTCAGCTAGAATGCTTCTCTCACTCTGGAAACTGTTATCTGCATCCTGAAAATCGCAGTTCAAAGATGAGCCTTTTCCAGAATGTTGCTTTCCTCCCAGATCCTTCACCGGCCTGGCCAGAGATTCTCTCTCTTAAAATATTCCTGTAAGAACATTCACTACATTGTGTTGCGTTTTCATAAATAAGTGACAACAACACGCTTTTGGTAGTGCACAAGTGGGTACGTGCAGTGAGGCTAGGGTCTGAGTAACACAGCTAGGATGCTGGAGAGCGTTTAGCCATCCCTTGCCGACTGCTGTGGGGACAGTGGGCTGTGAACGCCACGTGGCAGCCCCGTGACGGAGGCACCAGTATTCATTCCTCTCCTGCTTAGACGCCTTCAGACCCAGACTTCTCAGGTAAACCTGGGCATCAGGGCACAGGGCACACAGGGGAAAGCCACTGGCTCTGGCTCTGCACATCCAGAGTTGCCTTTTCCTCAGGGTCTCATCACCATACTCCTGAGCAAAAGCATTTCTTACAGGTTAGGTGTGACACCTGCCTATGTGACAGGCCATGTCAAGAAGCTAACTCCCCACGGCCTGGAACTTTATCCTCAGTGTCTATGCATTTGTGAGTTCACTTTTAATGTAGAAAATTTCACCATTTTTTAAACTTCTGTTTCATCAATATATTTCACTTTCCTGATTAAAAAAAATAATAAGTTACAGTTGAGTTTAAAAGTAACACAGTGCTGGCCAGAACTGGATTTGGAGAGGCTGCTTCTCTCAAACTTCCATAAGAAATATTTTCCATGAAGATAAAATGTTTATATTTTGATGATGATTAGTAGTTTATTTTAGGGCTCTAATCAGGAAGGACAAAATGATTGCGTATATTTTAGGTCTACATCAGTTGTTCTAGTCTTTTGGTTCAAGTACTTACTTAGTTTCAGTACAGACTACAGATTTTATATAGACCTTTACTCTCAAGGAAAAGTGCACCTTTCTACAGTCAAGTGTTTTGTACTCAGATTATTACAGCAGTTCACATGAGATGGACAGCAGACATGTGGAAATAAAACACTCACCAGGCTTTAAAAACATACACATGCTTTAAATATTCTATTTAAATACAATATCCATTTACTTATTTTTCTATAATTCTTTGGTTAAAAAAATTACATATACATAAAAAGTAAAAATGAGCAAATTCAGGAATAAAGATCCCCCATAATGTATGTTTTGTTAGTAATTATGTAACTTTTTTGGTCTTGTTTTGTTTTGTTTTGTTTTGTTTTGTTTTGTTTTGAGATAGGTTCACTGTACAGTTCAGGCTGGCCTTGAGCTGATTTTGTAGCTCAGCCTGGCCTTGAACTCATGGCAATCCTCCTGTCTCAGCCTTCTAAGTGCTGCGATGACAGGCATGCACCACCACACGCAGCCTACATGACACATTAAAGAACGGAATCCTTTGAAATTAGAAAATTTATCAAGTTTAATTTGATTACCTTTACTAGAAGGAAATTTACAGTCTTTACATAATTAATGGCAGTCAATCCTGAGAGAATTAACTAGGCTTGTCACTCTATCATAGAGAATTGTTGGGGATGATGTATTTTGGGCAGAGCCAATGAATTTGCCAAATGTGCTCTTAAAAGATAGAAATGACACTCAAAGCGTTACATTCGTATGTGGCAGCAACTCTATTGTGGAAAGACATTTAAACAACTTAGACCCAATTTAGATCAGGTTAGCAGCTGGATTTACTCAGCTGGATAGCTGAAGTTTCATTTTCTTCAGTGAAGCGAACACCGAGTTATGCAATTGTTCGCACAGTCTTGGGTGTGAGAGTTGTGAAGTCAGCCTGAGTAAGAAACACCTAGCAGGTGCGCCTGGGTGACTGCCTTAATGAAGCAGGAAGCCCCACCCTGGGTATAAGTTACACCAACCAATAAGCTTGTGGCCCAGATGGAATAAAAAGGGAAAGAAGGAAGGCCTGCTTCCACTCCTTCCACAGAGCTCCTGTCTTTGCTTATTGACTTTGAACAACCGTCCCCAGGCCTGCAGCACAGACTCTTCAGCTTCCTAACTCAAATTCCTGTGGGATTCTGCAGGGCACTCCAGGCCTTTGCCCTTTCACTGGACCCTCAGTTTCTGCAGCTGCCCTTTGGTTTCTTCCACGTTTGGCTCTGGAGGCAGCCACTGTATACCTACCTCACAAATCACATATGATTTTTTTATGTTAAATCTATTCCTCTAGTGAACCCTAACTGATAGTAGAAGTAGGGAGTACTATAATTCTAAAATCTGAGTTTCTGTCTAGATGATACAGAAAATAATGCGGACAGTAACATATTTTAGGAAAATATAAGTAGAAGAATTAAAGCAAAGCAAATTTGGAAACCAGCAGTCAGTAGTCTGCTTTATCACTCAAAATTAAAACAAAACCAGAAAGATATCACTTCAGGGACTTGACAATATATTTACACTTGATATAAAAATATTAGGATATATACATTTAAATTTATAGTTATAAAATAGGAAAACAGAGTGAGTGACGGGCTGGAGATATAGCTCAGTGGTGTAAGCTCTTGCCTAGCAAGTGCAAGGTCACAAGTTCAATTCCTGAAACCAAAAAAGAAAAAGCATTTTAGGGCTGGCAAGATAGCTCAGCTGATTAAAGTGCCTGCTTAGGCAGACACAGGGACCAGCTTCAATCCTGGTATATCCTGCCAGCCCTGCCCCCGGAGCACACTGAGGCAGTAATTAAGCCTGGGTGTGGTGGCACATGCCTGTAATCCCAGCACTTAGGAGGCTGAAAACAAGAGGATCACTATGAGTCTGATCTGTGTAGTGAGACCCTGTGGACCCTATAGACTAAATACATAAAAAAGAGAGTGAGTGTATAGTTCTCCGAAAGGATTATAACCTTCATGCTTTCTCATCAGAAGTTTTAATGTTTCTTGTAGATGAAATTGTGTGAAGCACTGTTTGCATTAGCAAAGGAAGAGAATTTGTGTCCCAACTGCTATTATGCAGTTCAGGCTGGTCTTGAACTCACTTTGTCGCCCAGGCTGGCCTTGAACTCAAGGCAATCCTCCTGCCTCAGCCTCCCGAGAGCTGGCACTATAAGCATGTGCCACCATGCCCAGCCTTAAAATGCTTTTTAATACAGGCTTTGTTAGCAAAAATTCATTTGAGAAATTAAAAGCATATGTGATTCAAAGAAACTTAAGAATGAATATATTACATGGGGAACTGCATATATATATATATATATATATATATATATATATATATATATATATATATATAAATTTGGGGGGACAGGGTCTCATTATGTATGTAGTTTACACTGGCCTTGAACCCACAGTGGTCCTTCTGCCTCAGTCTCCCAAGTGGTGGGATTACGCGTGTGCTCTACCATGCCCAGCTCCAAATATTTTAATTCTTGCCTGCAGTTTCCAGAAAATAAGCAGGCATAGAATTTAAAATAAAGATCATCTTCAGTATGAACAGAAAAGCAAAAACGACTGCTTTGTTAGTTTAGCATGAATACAGCAATTAAGTACTTTATAGATTTACTTTAATTAATTCACCAAATTAATTAGGGCATACAGGCAATAGAACTCATGCATTTTAAATAGTTTCTTGGAATACATCTTCACTGATAACTATTTTACATATATTTAATTTAAAAATAAACACATAAACATTCCTTCATATACACAAGAGCAACTTCGAAAAGAAGCTTCCCTTTCAACGTAAATATTGTGAAAGAAGTATTTTCAAGGAGCAATTTTCCCACCCAAAAAGGACAGTTTCTGACGTCTCTGTTATTCAACAGATGTTCTTCTCATTTTTTCAGCTAATTCTTGTCGCATTTCAATGTGTTTTTCTAAATTTTGCACTTCATGTGGAAGGTTGATGTCCCAAATTGACAAGCAAGATTGTATCTCTAGAAGAAGAAAAAATAAACATGTTTTAATGATCCACCACAAAGCATTTTTATTTTATTTAAACTTTGTTAATTTATATGTAGTTTATTTAGATATATATGTTTATTTATAGCTATAAATAATTAATAATTGCATTTATGAAAAATTTTTTGGAAAATATTAGTCATATCTGAATTGCTAAATTTCAAGAAAAGTGTGGATTCTTTACTAAGTATTACTTCATTTTTTGAAAGAAACAGATTTCTCTTTTTTTAATTTAAAGAGAAAAAACAAAAAAATTTCAAAACGACATAATAGGAGAGTAACAATGGAGAGCTTTTTGCAACACTGTTCAACTTCACATCTCTGGTTTTAAGTAAGTTCTGAGAAGAAATATTTATATTTAGTTTAAATTTTAGCTAAGTCTTATTTTATAGTGACTATTTCTAACTCTATCTCATCTTTTAAAATACTATTTTAATGTCAAGTAAATGATTTTAAGGATTTAAGTTTACATTTTTTACATTATAAAGAACCTAAAATGCTAAAAAGTTATATTTATATTATATATATAATTTACTGTACATTTATAAGGTGAAACACTATCATTATTCATGTCATTGCCTCTTAGGAATATAGTGTCCTACTAGATAGTACCTTTTTGGTGATTTATGCCTTCAGTACTTTTCCGGTTGTATCCCAAAACCAGCATGGCATTTTTAAGGCTTCCTTTACCAAAACAAAATACAGCAATTTTCTGTTAAAATAGTCTATTGAACTAAAGTGGGGAAAACATACAGTTGCTCACATTTTAAGACACAGATACTTTAGAGTTACAATTATTTTTTAAGGAGATGCCTCAATGGTATTAGATGAACTCTCCAAGAAGACTACCCATTTTATTAAAGAAAATGAATCCTCTTGTACTTTCAGTCAGATACATGACCCTGAGAAAACCTAACTTTTCTAGAAAATATATAAAATTATTCATCTATTACTTCCCCCAATTATAATATTAAATGAAAAAATGTACATGAAAGAGCTTGGACATTACAAGGCTCGGATGGGAAGAATGTGGATGAAGCGTTGCACGGATGGGTACACCCACATTCACAACACCGTATTTTCCACTTCACTTTTTCACTAATTTATCTAACAAATAATCATCCCAAGATTTTCACATACTAGGCCCAGAGTCAGTCCTGGAATAAAAGGTTGAACGAAAACACACAGGCCCAACACACAGGGATGTCTTAGGAGAGCCAGCAAAGGGAAGTATGGTTTAATCCGTGTTGGCTTCCCTGGGCTTCCATCTGAAAATGTGTCCTAAGCAAGCCGGTGGGCTAAGGAAACGAAGCAAAGCAACAGCACCTGTGAAGCCCTTAGGCGGCATAATGCACAGCAGTGAATTCAGAGTACGAGCTCATCTAGACAAGAAGCTCCAAGAGTAACGCAGTAGTGGCTGGGGACCTCGAGTGGCGGAGGCCTCCCGGAGCTGTTGTCTAAATGCGAACACGGGGTTTACACTTCTCTTTATTTTAAAGTCCATCAAAATCCATGAAAATAGCGCCACAGTTTAGTTTTGAGCAATTGTAGGAGTACCAAAGCACATATAAATGAAATGAGAGAATGTAACAATGGTGGTGGGGTAGGACAGGGAGACAACATAGAGACCCACTGTGCACCTGCGTGGACACACGTCCTAGTAGTTACCCATCCCTACGAGCACCTAATTAACCCCTTCTGTGCAGCTGACATCCATAAATGACAAATGCATGAGAAACACCTGCCCCTATTTAATACACACCTGCCCCTATTTAATACGCCCCTGCGAAAGAAAGGTTTTCTTCAACAAGGCAAGCATCCCGCAACTCAAAGTTGCATAAGCTCTACTCCTGCACAACTGCAGCGTCATTTTTGCAATCAACTCTATATATACATATGTGTGTAATATTTTTTCTAAATCAAATTATTACTCAAAGACAGGCATTGAAATACCACTTAATGGAAAGTATGTCACGTGCTATCAGGATTTCCTTTACATTCAAACAGAAAAACTGGAGCAGAAATTGACACAATACTTGAGCAAAACGTATCATTTGTCAATATTTGTAGTTTGCGGAGTTCAGCATGTATTGCTACAAGAATATAAATTTGTTTCTAGAATGAAAACTCAAACAGGATTCTTTAACAAGGGTGGGAAACTCAAACTACTAGCAAAATAAATATTTGCTTTCCTTCGATGAAAACATAAAATAGACTCAATACCGCGTATGTTCCATTTTTGCCTTACATATAATAGAAAGAAAGAAAGAAAGAAAAAGAAAGAAAGAAAGAAAGAAAGAAAGAAAGAAAGAAAGAAAGAAAGAAAGAAAGAAATCAAGGCTCCAGTGGTACGCTCGGCTGGATGCCTTGTTTCTCTCTCAGGACAGGCGCTGATACTGATACTTCCTCCAAGTTTTGAATTGAGGTAACTGAGACTTTATCCTAGTCCTCTGCTTAATCATGTGACATTCCAACACACACACCAAAGGGCACTGCAAATAAAACTTCCTTTTTCAAAGCCATAGTTTATAATCTTAGACAATATGAAAAAAAGACACTATTGGGAAGAAACTTGCCTAGCTGTGCAGTCATCATGACTCTCACAGAACCACAGAAGTTGTCGATTACACGTATGACTCGCCGAGTGGAAAGCTCGAGGAGTAAAATGTGGCCTCCTCCAGTTCCTACCCAGAGGGCCGTATTCCTCTGAAGGCACAGAGCCTTCACTCTCCCAGAATAGGACAGTTTGTGTTTCGAGTCCTGGCTGGTTGTGACCACTACTTCCCTAAAACCACAAAGAAAGAATACATTAATAATTCATCAATAATTCAGAGATCCAACCGATTTGTCCATATATACACGTGTTACATATAGATACATGTGTACATATGCGTGTAATGTTACACACACAAATGTGTCACCGCCTCAACTATGGCTACCTGCAATATGGTCATGCCCTGCCATCCCAGGGGAAGCGGCCCCCAGGGGGATTACCAAGATCACAGGTGTTCAGTTCCTTATAAAAACTGATGCACGTCAGTCATGCACATCCTGTCTACTTCAAATTATGTCTAAATTGCTTACAATACCCAGTACAAGGTAGGTGCTCTGTAGCTGGTCATTACCTGTATCATTTAGAGAATAACGTCAAGAAAATGTCTGTACGTTTGCTAGAGATGCAAATGTGCCTAACAACAGTTTTCTTCTTTTTTAATCTCCTCTCTCTCTCTCTCTCTCTCTCTCTCTCTCTCTCTCTCTCTTTTCTTTCTTTTTCCTTCCTTTTTGTTTGTGACAGGTTCTAAATGTCACAACATTTTTGACCCTATGCTGCTTGAAAATGTCAATGTAGAATCCAAGGACATAAAGGACTGTGTATATTACATATTGTTAAACTGTACTACACTAATTGCTAACTACAGAATGCCTAAAAGTCTATTTGTCTACTTAACGCATAAGTTATCAAAGATAATACAATGATAGTCCCAGGGCTGGCCACATAGCTCAGCAGATTAAAGTGCCTGCTTAGGCAGATGCGGGGACTGGGGTTCAATCCCCAGCGTGTCATGCTGGCCCTGCCCCTGAGGAGCTCTGAGTCGGTGATTGACACTGGGAATGGGGGCGCACAGCTGTAATCCCAGTGCTTGGGAGGCTGAAAACAGAACGATCACTATGAATCCATTCTGTGTAATGAGACCCTGTACTAAATACATTAAAAAAAAAAAAACTTAAAAAAAGAGAATGGTAGTCCTTCAAATCTGAGAAATTCTAAAATAAATAAAATGGATGCAAGTTTATAAATAGCTAAGTTATTTAGTTCAATAAAAATTGAGTACTTTTGTGCAATATAAAAAAAATGTTTCAAAACTTCCTCCAAATCTGAGTTATGAGGCAAAGTAAAAATGTAATCATTTACATGTAAAAGATAGCAATGGGAGCCACTAAATTTTTCCTATGAGCCAATGAAAGGCCTAATTCATAAAAATAAAAAACAAATGAGTCGTCTAGAATTTTAAGAATCCTAGGGATTTGGGGACTTTCTTAGATACCCTCTACCAAGCAAAACTGTCAGCCATCTGAGCCTAGGGGTTTTCAGGAGTCAGACAGAAATAGTAAAGAAGAACCTAAGAAAGTAAACTCAGCAGCCTCACTTTATGGATGCAATTTACAATCTAAAATACTCTCCCCACTACACCAAATTTATACAGTACAATAAAAACAGCATATGGCTGGGAAACAGGATTGGCCGTGGTCACATTTCTAGGCACCATCACAACAAGGATGTCCTTGTGTACACCGTGACTGGTCTCTGTCTTTGCGATCTCACACCAGTGTGTCTCTGCATATTATTCTATTATTTTATGACATTCTCCTGGGAAAGTATCCTTAGGCTCATAATTATAAGCAGTAATATAATTATACAAAAATTTGGTACTATGATGCCACTAGACATAGAGCCAACAATGAGGTTTTATGGCTGCTTCTTATAATGACTACATTTTCATCAGCAAATAGTTTTCATGCTGCCGTGAAGAAACCATTTCTACTATTTTCCTGTTCTTTTACTTGTCCCAAATGAAATATGCTGGATACTAAAAGAGGGCGTTGATGAGCATGAACAATTTGGTGTCTACATTCTTGTTCTTTTGAAATCTCTATTTAGAGACAGAAAGGAAGAGAATCAAGTCATCATTTCTCCCTCGGTGGAACCTGGAACATAAGGACAGCTGTTCCAGGCGAGAGGCACCGGCGGGCTTACTTCAGCAAGTGCACGCAGTCTATGAGCTCACAGAGCTTCTCCGCCTTCCTGTCCCACACTTCCACCACAGGGCTGTTTTTCTTCGCTATGTAGAGAGCTGTGTCTACCACCACAGCTATTATGTTGGAGTCACTGAAAGCTGCATAAGAAAACCTAGGAGAGCAAAAAAGGGCGCCATAAAAGACCCACAGGGCAACTCTACATTAGCTTTGAAGCTTATGAAAAGGTAACACTGTTTAGAAAAATATCACAGGAGCCAGATTATTACACTTATTTCTTTTCTACTTTCAACACTCTGAATTAGATGTTCAATTTCCTTTGCTTCTTTACTTGCATTGAGCTACTTCATACTGGTTTCCTTTAATTAAAAAATAAACAAAAGAAATAAAGTTTATTTCTGGTTTTAGTTTTAATTTCAGTTCTATATAGTTCTTTATAGAATTTCATACTGTATTTCACTTCTAAAAGAAGTATTACCCTAATATCTGTAACCTGTTGATGTTGCAATAAAACCCTGTGGTGAGTGTTGAGACAACTAACAGCCATTTATATCTACAGCTGTGAAACACAAAATGTTCAAAATAATTTTAGTGGCAGAATCTTCAAATGTTAAAACAAGGGCTGCAGCCTATCAAGTTATTAGGAAAAATAATCTACATCACCAAAACACAAATAGAAAGTAAATTCTTTTCCATAACCGCCCTTTGAAAATAAAAGAAAATGATGAGTATTGTATAATGTTTGTCCTCTCACGTAAGCCTTGGGGAAGCTGGGCTCCAAGCCAAGGATGGTGGGCCACCTGGAGAGACTCCTTAAGGAGGGCCGGAGGCAATGTGGCCCTGCTGTGTGAGGCTGCGGTGCGAACACTTGGACAGCCGAGACAGTGAAGAGTCACGTGGAGAAGGGGCAACACGCAGAGGTCAAGAATACACACACTTTTAATGTTGTGCACTTACAAGGGCATTAGAAATACAACTGTGCCTTCTTTGGCAAGCACAGGGACTAGGGTTGGATCCCTGGTCCCACATGCCATGTTGGCACACTGAGCAGGCAAACAAGTCTGGGTTGGTGGCGCATGCCTGTAATCCCAGCGCTGGAGAGGCTGAAAACAGGAGGATCACTACAAGTCCAAGCTGCACAGTGAGACCCTATTCCAAATACATAAAATGAAAAAGAAAATTATAATTGTCCCTGATGTAAGCTAATAACAAGTATAGTAGGGCTGGGGATATAGCTCAGTGGCATAAGCGCCTGCCTGGCAAGTACAAGGTCCCAAGTTTGATTGCCAGTACAAAATTTTAAAAACTTAAAAGTTAAAAAAAAGAAAAAAAAATATATATATATATATTAACGTTTACTGAGAGTTTACCAGATGCTGGGTATTATGTTAAACTCCTGACTCTAATTTTCTCAATCTTGAAAATATCTCTTTGAGCTACAGCAGCACATTACAACCTTGAAGTCAGAGAGTACTGAGGTTGGAAAGCTCTTCCCCAAGTTCATAAAGTTAAAGCCCGTATTTGAACTATAATTTATGCTCTTGCCCACTGCCCTATACTATTTATCATTGAACATAATGAAAAAGGCCCAACCACATTTAGTTAAAATATGATTTGAACATTGGAACCAATATGTTTTATTTTACTCTTGTTTGAAACTATTACTAGGGCTGGCCAAAGAGCTCAGCGGATTGAAGTGCCTGCAAGCAGGCGCAGGGGCTGGGGGTTCAACCCCCAGGTCTGCCGTGCTGGCCCCGCACCCAGGGTGCCCTGAGATGGCAATTGAGACTGAGCATGGTAGTGCGTGCCCGTAATCCCAGCTCTTGGGAGGCTGTAAACAGGCAGATCACTATGAGTCTGATCTAGTAGTGGGACCCTGAACACCCTGTAGACCCTCCCCCCTCAAAAAAAAAGAGACTATTACTAACTTGGTTGACATTTTGATGATTAGTTACCAATCTAGAAATAACTTTATTCCTCTTGCAGTCTGTTTTCTATAATCAGTACTTAATGGGATTATCTAAAAGTACATATGTAAAATGCACTGTTTAGAAAAATACTGAGGGGAGAGCCTTCTAATTCCAAGTGTCTAATTGGAAACCGAGATCATGAAACAGTTGAAACTTTAAATCAATAGATACCACTGGAATAATAATGTTTACATATTTTATCCTGAAAGGCCTCATTTTTTTAATGTTCCTTTGTTTTCTGGAATTCTCTATGTTTTCTATAATTAATGCTTAATTTTATAATAAAAGATAAAGCATTGTAAATGATGTTCATTACGAAATAATGGCATTATTGATGCAGCTAGAGGAAATAAACACAAGTAATGGTAAATAAATGGTTTAGAGAAAAAATTGCTCACAGCTGATTTGTCTTCGTCTCAATGAGCTTCTGAATGATGAGGTCATTCGAAAATGAGAAAATCTTGGTGCCACATCCTCCCCACATGATATTCCTCTCACTGGAATTCATGGATTCACTCAGACACATCAGCGGCGTGCTGACAGTCCCTATGTTCAGAGTCTTCAGGGGCCTGGCGCCTTCACACTTAGCCATACAGAAAAAACAGCTAATGAATTGAGGATCTGCGGAGTGAAACACTACACAATTTTTGCTGTATAAAACTACTTTTTATTGCAAATGACTAGAGATAATAAAATATAGATCTAGATTCACTTTTCAAAGTCTGCAAAACAGTCTTTGATTAAACTGGTAGTCAAAACACTGTCTTCCTATCAAATTGTTTCGATTCATGAAAAAATTGTGTAAGAAAGAAATCAGGGACTACCTTTTTGGGTCTACACAATATCAAGTATGAATGAATAGGCAGACAATTGAATGAAAAGATAGAAGCACAAGCCAATAGATGAAGTAATAAATCCTTTAACAGCTAAACAAGAAGTCAAAGAACAGAAAGTTAAATGATTAGTGCGAAACAGAAAGTTAACAGAAAACCTAACATTCTCCGTTTCTCTCTCTCTCTCTCTCCCTCCCTCTCTCTCTCTCTGTACACATGCACTAGAATTGAATCCAGGGCCTTGTACACAGTATGTAGAGCTCTACTGAGCTATGTGTCTAGCTACATGCTAGAGTATCCTGGAGTATCTTTATTTTTTTCCACAATATATTTGTAAGGAATTATTGCTACACTCATACAAATTCAATTATTTTCATTCTCAACATCACAGATCAGATCTCACTTATCCTGCTGTCCTTGGTGTATTCATATAAAACACACAAGCAGTGAGTGCCTTCAGAGACTAGTATTTGCCCAACTCCCTGAGCCTGATAGAGCATGCCTGCGATCCCAGGGTTTAGGAGGCTGAGACAGGAAGACTGTACTGAGTCTAAGGCCAGCCTGGGCTACATGAGACCTCAAAAAAAAAAAAAACGCCCAAAAAATTGTTAGTAAATAAGTAAAATAAATGTGATGTACAAGGCAGTCAATATTTACCTTAACAGTTTTGTCTTCAAAAATCGCTAAGTTGCCATTGGCAGTTCCCACCAAAAGAAAATTTTGCTTGCTAAAAGGAAAAATGTCAAAATTGTTACTAAAAAAAGAATATTTATATTGGTTAAGACAGCCTTACATTCCTCTCCAGCTTGACTAAACTTTAAAAAGATCCTTCAGACAAAGACTCAATCTCCCTTTTCTGAGAGCATTTACTTTAGAAAACTTGCAGTTACAAATTCTTTCTCTGTCCCTTGGAGATGTGACTCTCTTCCCAGCCTCTTGCTAGTTTTACAACGGATGAAAGTGCTTCCCTAAGACCTGTGAGCCACCTTTTCAAAACATATTCATCAAGAGAGCCACACTCCGACACTTCCCTCTCTCGGGGCTGACCACAGCCACACGGGTGACCCAGCCACATTAGCACCCCACCACTACCTGCAGCACCCTCCAAAACTTTTCCACAAGTACAGCTCATCCCTGATTAAAACTGTCCCACTTTTTGCGGCACAGGGTTTGGATCCAATCCCCCCCCAACCCCTGGCATAACCTTGAAAAGTCTTCCTCCTTTAATTCCATCCCGTGGCATTTTTCTTTAACAATATCCACATAAAGTGGACTGCAAAGTCAACCGTAGAATTTATATCTCAGGTACCAAAAGGTTAGATTTCCCAATTTTCCGCTACTTTTCTTCTACTACTCACCTCAACCCGAGAAGAACACAGGGTGGAACCTGAGTAGCGGCTAGAAGTGATCCTGCCTCAAATAGTGCAGCAACTGACTCCACTCACACCTGCAGTTCTGCCACTTGGGCACAGTGCCCTGGCAGGGCTCTATGAGTGATGAGCACTAAGTCATTTCTCACCTATTAACAACTTATTAATCTATTACATTCTTCTCCAATGTGGTGGTTGGATAACTGATATGTAACCTGGCACTTAGTAGGCTGATGATATCTATATGGAGTCAAAGAATGAATGAAAATTCAACATGGAAGAGGCTCTGCCAAGCCAGACAAGAGAAGAAGCAGAAATAGCATCATGGCTGGGCTAGGAGCCTGAAGAAATTATTGACTTATTTTATGACTGCCTCAGTATACAGAAAAATAACGTGCATACTTGTGGCCTCTCCCAAACTCCCTTAATGTATACAAACCAGTGAAAGTAGGCCCAACAGTCTCTTTGGACACAGTAACAATTCCACAGACAATTAAGTCATCTACAGGCAGATGATTTCCCTCAACTAAACAGACAAACGTACCTTTGCTTGGAGAAAGAGCTGCAGTACAAACAGGTAACCGAATCTGTCATCTTCTCAAGGGCATGCCTCTTCATCCCGTCATCCGTGCTCATGACCAGGAGAGCACCAGACTGTGTCCCAGACACAACCCAGCTCTCCTTCTCCGCAGGAAGGTGTACCACAGCCAAGCACAGTATTCTGCTGTCAGCCACCTCCTATTGGACAGAAGAACAGACACTCTAGAGGGCTTGGCTAACATTCCTAGAACTCGACAGAATGAACATATTCTGTGACCAACACACAGAACTTTTTTTTACTTTTATTTTACTTTATTTTTGTACCAGGGATCAAACTCAGGACCTTGCACTTGTCAGGCAGGCACCTATGCCGCTGACCTATATGCCTTCCTCTTTACTTGTGCATGTTTACTTGTAAAAGTAATGCCATCCTAGTAAGTTTTCAACCACAAAAGAGAGCACAGGATCATGTTCCAATGGGCCAGACTTCCCATTGGATGTCACTTGGAAGTAGGGCTCACCACATTATTCACACGTGGTAAAGACACTCACAAATAGGACTTCCAGAACTGCTTCAGAAAGTGGTGAGAACAAGGGGATAAGTGAGCTTGAAGTGAGGGTGAACATTCTGAATGGGTTTAATGGCAATGTGTCTTGTACTGTAATACTTAAATGTAAACATCCACTGTATATTTCAATCATGCCTGGAATAATACTCCTACATTGACTCATATTTAATTTCTTCTAAAATAATTTTTAACTGGTATACACTCTAGTTTATGGCTAAGTGAATGTTCTATAAGGGTGTTAGCTAGAAGCATCCTCAGATTTACCTCCAAAGTGTGTCCTTCAGTGTTTAAGTCAATACAGTGGAGCTGCCCTTTGTCGCTGTGCCCACAGCCCAGCCAAATCTTCGCATTCTTGCTGTTAGGATTCGTAGAAACCATGCATTCAGCAATGATGTTTTCGGGTATTAAAATATGTCTCATAAGACAGATTAACTCAGCTGAGTTCAAAATATCAAAGACCTGAGAAAGTTTAAAACGAAAACACTTGTCAAGTTTCATGCTTCCTGTTTAAGGATCAAATCTATAACTAAATGCTATCACTACAGCAAACAAAACCAAAATTTATTCATTAAATAGGAATGCATTCAGATGATCACGATTACCAAGCCAAACTATAAACAAAATCATTGAAAATGAATATATTTTTTAATGATGTAGTCTATGTTTTCTTTCACATGTGGAGTATTTTTTTTAACCTGAAAGTAAGATCTTCAGTGTTAGCTAAACAGAATGTAAGCAGACAGGACTTATTTTTCACTCAGTTCCATATTGCAGACCACAGTGAACGAGAGGAAAACACTTTGATCACCAAGAGTAGAACTTCTACCAGATGAAGGAAACGGAAATTTGAATCTTTGGTTAAAAAATTTAGATATAATTTGTACATTTTTTTATTTGCCTTCAAACATTAAAAATAGGAAACAATATGAACTATAGTAAAGAGATAGAAGTAAGCAACAGGACACTTAGTGACACCCACAACTGTGACAACTTCCAGCCTGTTATAGGGTAATAATATCATTAAGCTTCTCTTCTGAAGGGTTAACAATTTAAGTTTGCAGACCAAAAATTAGAGAAAAAGAAGGGCTACAAGGGTAGTCAACATTTTTGCCCTAGCCTTTCAAGGTCAGTGAGGACTCAGGACATAAGAGAACCTGTACTGTAACATACTGTAACTCAGTGGTGTCCCAAATTTTCTGATCAAGGAGATAATGAGGTCACAGAGGAAAGTGATCGATGATGTAGAATTGCCTAAGGAGAGTCCCATGGAGAGAAAACATTCTCTCAGGTTTTCACAGACAGCAAATTGGTCAAGCAATGGCCATGACTCACCCCCATAGCTGACACTGACAAAGAATCTACAAACTGCAGTAAAGGATTTCAGGGTAAATCCTGAGGGGATTTGACTGACCTTGTCAGATACAAATATTACATTTCTTGTTATTATAGGTCTTGCTTTATCTTGGTCTTAACCATCCAGCAGAAAAGTGTAAAAATGAGGTATAAAAAGTAAAGCCATATTAATATGCTGAGCTATAAAAGGCTCAAGTTAACAACTTCTGACATTGCCAGTCCTACGGATAACCCACTACTATTACAGACTACTGGACTATATTGGAATATTTTGCTGCATTCACACACCTACAATACTTAAATGGAAACCCATCTCTGACAAAACTAAACAAAAAAGGGGATATAAATGAAGGATCATTTTGTATCTGTATATACAAACCAGGATAGATATACAGCTACTTTCTCTTAATTCAGTGAGAAAAAAGATTTGTACTAATAGTGTTTGGACAGGATATTATGCCTGCATCTTGTACTATGAATAACCACTACAAGGACAACAATATGCAATGTATTAATTATTGTAACTGTTCTACTATCCTGTTTTGAAACTGTCTCATTGCTATTTGTTTCTCAATAAAATTAATTTAAAAAGAGAATAACTTCTAGCCTGTCACTTGCGAAGCCACGAGGAAGCCCTTTATACTCACAGTGCGTCATCTAAGGGAGAGGCTGTGGTACCCATCTTGCCCATGCCACATTGTTACAGACTGTGTTCTCTAAAATACAGGTAAACAATCATGACAATGGAAGCAGTAAGGGAAAACCATTAAGTTATGAGAAACTTCACTGCTTCTCATAAAACAATATAGAAAGTCAATGTGACTAACAGTGATGGTGACCTAGCTCAAAATCAAGTAAACCATGGAGGCAAAATAATTACCTAACATTTGGTAAAGTCAGTGTAGTTGTACTGAGCTATTTTAGATTAAGACATTTAAATTGAACAAAATCTTTTCAGTAAATTATGCTACAAAGTTGAGGCAACAACATAAAAACAATCTTTATTTTGATCTATTATTTTGCTTAGTGAAATTCTGTATCATCTCTAATGGTTTTTCTTTTTTAGTATTTTTTATTCTCTTTAAAAAGAAATTGATGAAACCCAAAAGAAATTTGCATTAGTCTAAACCAAAGCAAAAATTCTGTTTCAACTCATATTGTTGCAGGTAACTGAGTAATAGAAATATTACAGGCTGTCCCACACAGTGGGGCCCTGGAAGGAGACAATGCAGAAGAAAAGATACCCTGCAGCTGTGGGAGAGGCCTCAAGACAAAAGAGTAAACAAATGCACCCACATACCTGGGTAGAGATGGGTATCAGGGAGTGACAATCTAAATAGGTCTCCTTCACCTTGAAAGAGCCAGAAAGAGTCACTAACTCAACCCCACGCAGGAAAAGCCCCGCTCTGTATTCACGCTCTCTTGCTACAGGATTCGCTTGTCATTTGATCTGATTTAATCAATGTTACCTGAGCAACTGTACTCCTAATCTTATTGGTTGACCATAGTTTTGTCCCACCTCTGCCCAGCTAGCTAGCGAGTCCCCACGATTCCCACTTTGGACCCGCTTTGCATCCTGGATTTGCTCTACTGGCCCAAACTGCATAATGCTATCTTAAAAAAATCCCTAGAAAAGGCAGGGGCCGTGGCATCCTGACTGGATCCCCTTCTGCCCCTCTCTCAGACAGAAGCTTTCTTTTCCCCCAATAAATATATTCTGTTTTAAACCTCTGCTGTTCCTAAAATTCATTCTTGGATTTTAGAGAACATAAACTTGTCCCAGATAGCTTCCAGGTTGGTAGTTTCTTTCCCCTAGTGCACCCTGGAGGTGGGGCCGGTGTGGCATGTGGGACCGGGAATAGAACCCTGGTCCCTGTGCTTGCCAAAGCAGGTCCTTAGTTCACTGAGCTATCTCTCCAGACCTGTCTAAGACATTTCTGTACTGAGCCCAAATGGATGTGTGGTTTTGGATTCTCTTGGCGAGACCTATGGGAGAAAAGTTACAGGCTAGGTGGCATCCAAGGCAGACAGTTTTAATAAATCTGGGCCCTAAAGGACTGCTTTATTCAGTATAAGCAAAAATTATGAATAAAAGATGTGCACTCCCCCCTCCCCACTGACCTACATGGAAAGTCCCTGTGGGACTAAGGACAGAGGTGGGACCCTGGGAAAATGCTAGTTCTAAGCTTGCTCCCAAGAACATTTGCAGAGCAGAGTCACACTAGTTGCATGGTTAAAACAAACAACATCAAAAACAAAACCTCAAGTCAGTAACTGAGTAAAAGGACACTTGTAGGAGAAATCCAAGTGCTACCGAAAACCTGCATATAGCCTTCCAAGTTTACTGAAAGACATTGAGACCTATACAAATAGAGGGATAACACACAACAATCAGAAACCTAGTACTCTAAAGATTTTATCCTCCCCAAGTTGTTTACGGATTCAACAAAGATCTGATCCAATGCACAATATAGTCTAGTATGAGACTGGACAAAGAAACTTTAAATTTTACATAGTGCTACAGCTAGTAACAGGTAAAACCTTCCTTGGCCAGAAAAGGAAGGGAAGGGATTACTATGAAGCTACAGTAGGAAGAACAGTAGGCTGGCCAACAGAAGAGAACATATATGTGAATCTGTCAAAGTATCTTCAAGCAATTACAGAACAGACACGCCATATCAATGGAGACCAAAAAAAGGAGAGAAATTTTAATAAAGCAAGCTAGAAAAATTGGTTTGCTAGAGGAAGCCCTTTCCAGACCTTGTCAAGGTCCAGTGGAATTTATATTTGTAATGCCAGGGGAAAGTTATTGGAATTTCAATAAATTAATTCCAATCTACCACTTCCACTGCAACCCATGGTGAGAATACAGGCACTAAAAGTAGCTGTGGGGAGCCACAGGGTCTTAAGTCCAGTTAGAACAATGGCTAACCAGAACAAAGGCCTCAACCTGGGGCTGAACCCAGGTTTTATTAATTTGTGAAGAGGGCAGCGGCTCAGGGATGAGTGACCGTGAGAACAAGGGTTGTAGGTGAGGGTGCTGACCTGACCGGGGTAGGTAGGAGGCGAGACAGTTCTTTGGCAATATGCAGCAAGAAAGAGAGAGAGAGAGGTACAGAAAGAGTAATGTGCACTGCACGTTGGAGGCAGTGTCGTATGTCTTGGGGTCCAGGCTTCAGCTTCAATGTGTGATCTTCACGCCCTGAGACGTCACAGATTCTTTCCCAAGCCTCGCCTCAGCCAACAGCTGACCTACACACTAGCTCACACAGGCAAGTTGGGAGCTATAGGGGGCGTCACTGAGCTGTCCACTGCCTTAGAGATCACACAGCAGCACCTCCGCTAGAGCAACTGCATTGCTTAAAGCCAGTTGAGGGGATAAGGAATTATCCTAGCCAGCTCTGTACATGTAATACACGGAAATAGGGCCAGGCTTAGCCAACGTGTAGCCAAATGCTCTTCTCTCAAGGAGAGCCGTCCTGGTGGTCCTCCACAGGAAATTGGACACAGATGAAAATGTCAATTCTGGATAAATTAAGAATTTAAACGTCAAAAGCAAAATTTAAGTTTTTCTTTTCTTTCTTTTCACTTTTTCTTTCTTTCTTTCCTAATGAGCTACATCCCCATCTGTTTTTTAATTTTAAGACAAGGCCTTCCTAGGGTTGAACTGCCAAGGCTGGGTTCAAGCTTGCAGTTCTTCTGCCTCAGTCTCCAAGTGCTGGGATAACTGGCATGTGCCACTATGCTCCACTAAGATTTCGTAATTATCGAATTATAGGTGAGTATCTTTGTGACTTTAAAGATTGTCTTTTGCTTGGATAATTTTAGGCAAATAAACTGTCTAGAAAATGAGCAAAGTGAAAAACAAGCATTCCACACAAGAGCAAACATGGATACAGAACAGCAATCAGAAAAAGAATAGGGGGATTTCCAAAGTATTGTCAATGTTTTGTGTGTGTGTGTGTGTGTGCGCGCGCGCGCGTGCGTGTGTGTGTGTTCCAGGATTGAGGAGATTATAAGGGTTTTGCCTTATAACTATTTTTAACTGTGTGTATTTATTTATGCATTTCACTAAATATATTTGAAGATTTCATACATATATATACATGTGTAGCATATTTGCATAAAATATTAACTGATGTTGAATTAAAAAATACCTGGGCAGAAGTAGGCCTTTCTTGAGGATTTTCTTTCAGACACTTCTTAATTAACTTCTCAACCTTAGGCCACGGAGCACACCCATATTCTCTAACTGGATCTAAAGGATTGAAAAATATCATATTAGTGCAGGGACATATACTTCCTTTCAGTGTAGAAGAGAAGCCTAGAAGTTGCAAAGGAAAATACTTAACTCCATATTCCTGTATTTACTGTGAATTTGCCTATAACAAAATTAAAGCTAACTTGATCTCTAATAGAGCAAGCATGATGGCTTGCTTTTCTATGGCATAAAAAGACACAGACATCCACGGAATAAAACAAAAGATTTCCATTTCATACTTGCATTTAAAATGGACACTGAAAACACTCCTGCTCATAGAATAATTAGGCTTCTACCGAAATCCTTTATATTTTAATTCCAAAAGTAAGCACACATTTTCTCTTCATATCTTCCCCTAAAGGGTTTGTGGACATTTGTTATTCGTAAGAGCAATGGCAGTCCTCAAGTCAGTGCAGAATACAGACCTAGATGCTTTGGCTGAAAAAGCTGACGAATGCAATAAGCTAAATGACCTTGGTGGCTTCTCCAGCTTATTCGGAGTATAAAAAATTTCCTTTTGCCAGGATCACTTAAAGTCTCCCAGCAGGAGAAGTGAATGCTGTATTCTAGGACCTGCTCTGCTGTGTGTGTACTCAACAGTATTTCTTAAGTGAAAATGAAAGGACAAACATGACAAACCTAAATAAATAAAAAGGACACTGTGATGGAAACTGAACTCATGACCAAGGGATCAATGACAAGCGCTGAGAATTCCTTGAAAGCATAAGGCAGCCATAAAAAGGAGAGTCAATCTCATTAAGAACTCATTTACCTGTTCTTATTAATACTACTTTTTTTTTAGGGAAGGGCCTACAGGGTCTTCAGGGTCTCACAATGAGATTGAACTCGCAGTAATCCATCTGTATACAGCCTCCCAACAGCTGGGATTACAGGCATACGCCACCACTCCCAGTCTCAATTGCTGCTTCGGAGTGCCCCGAGGGTGGGGCCAGCATGGCAGGCCTGGGAAAGGAACCCTTGGCCCCTGTGCCTGCTTGCAGGCACTTTAACCCACTGAACTATTTGGCTGCCCTCTTATTAATATTACTAACAATTATTATTATAAATACTTCAAGCTTCCATTCCTACCTAAATCATTTTGCTCCAAGAAAATGAAAATACTCTTGCCTAGTAGGGACGTAGTAACTCTTCCTGAGTGCTAGCAGTTAACAAATCTGGGGTTCTCACAACAGTTTTCCTTTCCTGCATGTTTTTGTAAATATAATAACAAATTCACAAATACTAATGTGGGATTTTTTTTGAAGCTGAAAATTGCTATCTTGCTCATGTGATTTTTTTATTAACATGTCACAGGATTTAAGAATAGCCAGGCACTAAACACAAATTATCAGTAGTGAAATGAATTCAGTACAGAACTACTTGGAAATGAAACTGTTGACAGTAAGGAAAGGTCTTTATCTTACACAAAATAAAACTTACCAGGTAGTTTTCCTTGTATTGCTAATTCATCAAACTCATTTGGAAACTTCAAGCCCTCTACTATTCTACCTCCAGTTGTCAAAATGTCATAGAGTAGTAAACCAAATGAATAAACATCAGCTTGTTGGTTATAAATGACGTTTCCTCTGGCAACTTCAGGAGCACGGAACCCTGAAAGGAAGCAGACACAGCAGTAAGTCTGCCCAACAACAGGGCAGCTGACCCAGGGCTACATGCTCAGGACAGGCAGGGCCTGGGGTTTCCATGGTGACATCTGATGGGATCTGCTAAGAGCCTTGTCCCAGAACATGCACCCCAAGGACAATCTGGAAGGATGCTAATCTCCTTCCATCTTTATTACAAATCTTATAATCCTATTATAAGATCTTCAATCTCCAATACAATTACTTGGAAGGATAAAAAGGATAAACATTCAATAATAAATTATTCAGTAGACACTTATAATTAAAGATATGAAGCCTCAGAAAAAATCTGGGTTCATTTCTCCTGCTCCTAATATTAATGATTGTCAGGTGCAGACTTTAAAAAGGCAGGATGGGCTGGTGAGATAGCTCAGCAGGCTAAGCACCTACTTAGGCAAGCACAAGGACCAAGCTTAGATCCCCAGCACCACACGCCCTGCTGGTCACCAAGACCTGGTGAGGTGGCGCACAGCTGTAATCCCAGTGCTGAGGAGGTTGAAAACAGGACGACCACTATGAGTCCGAGCTGTGTAGTAAGACCCTGTACCAAATACACAGATTTTTAAAAAGGCAGGATGACAAGGGAGAGGCCACCTGGACTCCACACAGAGTGACTTTAATATGTACGAAAGCCCAATGCCTTTCTTAGTTCCACTCCACTCTACCCAGTGAAAAGCTAAAAGTCAAGTCAAAACAATAGAAGTGTTCTCTCTGAGGCTTATAACTAAAGTTCTTTAGGAGGAAAATAAACCTTTCATTTCACAAAAGATAAAAATACCTTTAATCCTTGAAGAAAAAATGAATAATTTATACAATCTAAAGACTGTAGAATTCAACAATATTGATAATCTGAAGAAATCCAACCACAAGAGGAAAACAGCTAAGCAATATATATTATGCAGTATGTTTAAAGTCATTTTTAACATGACATGCTATTACATAAATGAAATGATGGGACATAATTCTGGATAAACTTATCTCTAAAAATGTGAGAAAAAAACAACTGAATTAATTGTCTTAACTGATTTTGGTATTATGATTAACTCATTTGGTATTGTGATTAACTTATCCTTAGGAAATTCATGCCATATGCTTAGTGATAAAACTTCTGGCTGTCAAAGATTCAAAGACTCATACTCACATAAAATGTGAGCAGGAGAGAGGAGACGAATAGTTTAAAATCAGTAGAGTAGATGGGTGCAATTATACTCCTTTTTCAAAATCTACAGGCTAATACATGTAATTCTTTATTCCTATTTTTTAAATATATTTTAATTTCTTAAATTTTTTTCATCATATTCTGTAGGGACCTAAAGTTTAACATATCAATACTTGATGAAAAATACCTGTTCCGTGTTATGCCTATGATGTTTGATATTCAGACAGATAGTGAGGTTAAGCTCAACAGCCTAGGTTGTATGGTAATAACATTAAGCTTCTCTTCTGGAGGGTTAGCAACTTAGGTTTGCAGACCAAAAATTAGAGAAAAAGGAGGGCCACAAGGAAAGCCAAAATTTTGGCCCTAGCCTTCCAAGGTCAATTAAGACTCAGGACATAGGAGAACCTGTACTGTAACATCATGTAACTCAGTTGTGTCCCAAATTTTCTGATCAAGGTGATTATGGGGCCAAAGAGGAAAGTGACTGATGATGTAGAGTGTGCATAAGAAGAGTCCCATGAAGAAAAAACATTTTCTCAGGCTTTCACAGAGAGCAAATTGGTCAAGCAATGGCCATGACTCATCCACATGGCTGACATTGACAAAGGATCTACAAACTGAGGTACAGGCTCTCAGGATAAATCCTGAGGGTATCTGACTGACCTTATCAGATCCAAAAGCTACAACTTTTGTTGCATAGGTCTTGCTTTATCTTGGTCTTAACCATTCAGCAGAAAAGTATAAAAACGAAGTATAAGAAGTAAAGCCATGGTGTTATGTTGAGCTGTAGGGGACTCAGGTCAACAACTTCTGACACTGCCAGTCATGCGGAAGACCCAATACTATTATGGACTACTGGACTATTTTGGAATATTTTGCTGAGTTCATACACCTATAATAGTTAAATGACGGAACTAAACAAAAAAAAAGGGGATACAGATGAATGTCCATTTTGTATCTGTGTATTCAAAATGGTTAGGATAGATATATAGCTACATTCTTTTAATTCAATGACTAGAAAGATTTGTTCTAATAGTGTTTGTAAATGGGATATCATGTTTGTATCTTGTATAGCAAATAACCACTAGGAAGAGAGTATGCAATGTGTTAGTTATTGAAACTGTCCTACTAATTTGATTTGAAACTGTCTCATTGCTATTTGTCTCTCAATAAAATTATGGAAAAAATGTTAACAAAAGTACATATATCATTAATAAAGAATAATTCTGATTTGAAACAAAAAGAAAGCACAGCTAGAGCAGGGAACAATGTCTGGTGCCCAGAAATTTCAGAGATGACTTTTGAGGTCTGCACAGTCCTACAGATAACCTTATGACTACTGGACTATACTGGATTATTTTGCTGAATTCACACGTTTACAATATTTAAATGGCAATGGAATACCCATCTCTGACAAAACTAAATGAAAAAGGGGGATATAAATGAAGGACCATTTTGCATTTGTATGTACAAAATAGTTAGGATAGATGTACAGCTACTTTCTCTTAATTCAATGAGAAGAAAGATTTGTACTAATAGTGTTGGACAGGATATCCTGTCTGCATCTTGTACTATGAATAACTACTACGAAGACAACAATATGCAATGTATTAATTATTGTAACTGTCTTACTATCCTGTTTTGAAACTGTATCATTACTATTTCTCAATAAAATTAATAAAAAGAAAAAAGAAAAATCAACAGCATTTTCCACAGCAACTACTCAATTCATAGCACTTTTGGCAAACAATTGTACATTTATCAATCTGCTTCAGGAATACACTAAGCATCAAAAATAAAATCTTGGGCCTTTGAGATAGCTCAATGGCCTAAGTACCTGCCTGGCAAGCACAAGATCACAAGTTTGATCCCAGGTACCAAAATAAAAAAATGAAATCCTTGCCAAAAGACAGACTCCAGTTTCACAGATTTCATGAGAGTTCAGGATCGGCAAACTATGGCCCCCAGGAAAGTCTCCGCCTGCTGACCTATCCTGATTTTTTTTATTATGACCCAAAAATGATGTTTACATTTTAAATAGTTGAAATAAAAAGAGGATAATATTTCATGACATGTACAACAAAATTTAAATCTTTGTATTCATGAATAAAGCTGCATCGGAATACAGTGAAAAAATATTGAAAAATAAAATAAAAAAACAAAATCTGTAGGCTTAAAATATTTTTAAAATGAAAAGCAGATGGGTGTGTCTATAGGCATATAGTAATTAAACCTTAGCAGTAAATACATCCAAATGCAACAGTGATTATTTCTATGTATCAACATTGCACACGTTTTCCTCCCTGCTTTTGCACTTCTAAATTCTTTACAAAAACCTTCTTGTGCCAGAATCACCTGTGGTAGTCAGTAGACTTTCCCTGTGCAAGTGACATGGTCCTTTTAGCAATGTCATGTGTCCTTTTAGGACAACCAACATAATTAATGGTGAAGTCAAGAGTACTCAAAAATAATGAGCTCCCCACACATTAACTAGCTCTTTATGTTTATCTTCTTGGAACTTAACAAGGATTTTGGAAGTTGATTTCAATCTTACCCGATTGTTTACTATTCATTCAACACATTAAATTAGGTGTCTATTACATCAAGGTCCTAGCAAAGGGCTAAGATGTTCAGCCCACTTCTTTCCTGGATAATTCACTGTTAGAATTTGTAATCCCAGAATCAGAGCGCGGGAAGAGACTTGAAAGGCCACTGAGCTAGGTTGCTAAATTCTCATTCAATGCACGTATCCTTTCCAGCAGGCTTTATTTCTCCAGGCTTTAACTCACAGAGGTGCTCAAAAGGGCAGAAATCTTTTTTCACGATTATTTGGAGAACGCTAATATATTTATGAATATGTAAAGAAATATTTACTTCAATATGCAAATGTTTTTAACCTTCTTACCTTTCTCTTTCAAAGTACATGTCTTCACTGACATAATTCCCAGTATAATAATACATAATATTATTTATACATTCAGAAAGTACCTAAATTATAATACTGTTGAAATGCTTTTATAAATTCATCCAAAGAATTTCTCACGTATTTGATTACATTAACAATTTACTGATGAACACCCCAAAGCTATTAAATGGTAGAATCAGTTTGGTACTTGATAAATGTTTAATAAAGTATTGCCAAATGCATGAATAAATGAATACATAAAGTATAATCTTCCTTTGCAGGATTATTATAACAATTACCATGTTAAAAATAATCAAAAATATGACTCATCTAAAAACTATTTTTAGCAATAATTTTTCAGATAAGCATGAAGTTTAGCAAATGTAAAGAGTGAATAAAGAAAAGATCCACGGATCAAAAATGTGAGAAATGCATGAATTAAGTCAGAGTACATTTCACATGGCACCCCAGAAACATGCATTTATTTCCTTTTTAATGTCAGAGAAGAATGAGTAGAGTGTGTTGCATAACCTCTATCAGTGATAACCAGAAGGAATGACATTTATTATTTTACCTAATGACTGCCGTATGGATGTGGACAGACTTGAGGTCATCAGTCAGCACTTGCCTCAGTCAACAGTACTGCCACAGGATGCACAACACCTCTCACTCTCAACAGGAAATCCAGGTGGCATTAAAGCTGAAACTCTGTAAGCCCCTACTTACCCTTCGTATGCATGGACTCGCACATCACTGAGGCGCCAGTCTGTGAGTTATTCCTGCCTGTGGATCTTGTGATGTCACTAGCTGGCCAGGGGCTCTGCTCTAAGACTGCTTAGGTTTGCACCTGGAACTGCCTTACAGACCTTGTTAACATTCCCTAGGCTTTAGTTTCCTCACCTGTAGGCTAAGAATGGTGGTAAGATACATCCAAGGGTCATACAGTTTAAATGAGATAGTCCATCCATCCAAAATGCAACTAAGCACAAGCCAGGAACATTGTTCATGAACTAGAAAGGCGTGTGCCTACACGTGTCTTCTCTGATACACCAAAATTCACCCACCCTCACGCACACAGTCTGGGTAAAGGCACTGCAGTAAAGACTAATATAAAACAAAACAGAATCTAAGAAGTCTTTGGTCAAGCAGTTTTTATGTTAAAAGATATAATCTTAACTTGAAGATCCATTAAAAAGAAGTGCTACAGAGAAGGCACATCATACACAGAGGAACTTTAGTTCTCAGAACTGCTTTGGTAGGGCATGGGGTGATGATGGCAGTGGTGACAGGGACTGTTATTTACATTTGAGGTCGAGTTTAGGACTGAGATAACTAGAAGTGCTCTACAAAAGATAATAGCAATAAAAAGAGAAGTTCGGTAATATAACATGAAAACACATAGGCTATATTAAGTGACATAGGCAAAACATGGGCAGAAAAACAGAGACCGGGCCCTGGGTCTCTGTGTCATGATCTTTGTCCATTTATGTGGCCCAAAGTCGGTATTTTACATCAAAAGTGACCCAGGACAAGTGTTTGGCTCCATGTGAAGAATCAGATGGTGACAGAATTATATACACAGGTTTCAGTCCAAGTAAGGAAGCCAGATACCAAAATCAAAGGCTGTAAGTATGAACCGAGCTGAACTGAGCCCTCTGCTAGCTGGCCTAGACCCCTGAGGGGAGTAGCTGAGCTCACACCCAGAAGCACCTTGACAGGCCCCAGGGAAACCCACTGTCCTGAGGAATGGACAAGAAAGGAACTGCGAGAGTGGACTGGCCCACCTTTGGATCCCATGAAAATAGTGAGGAGATCTACAGAGACATTTCACAATGGTGTGCCCATTTTCCCTGGGGATTCCATCCTTGTGGAATGCTTGTTTTCCCAAACCTGCAGTTGACAATATTTGGTACACTACTGATTACTATGGTTCCGTTATTTTGTTTTGCTGTTTAATAAATATGATTGAATATTAAAGTCTATTTGAATACATGTTAGAGTTGCACGTGATCTAGGAAACAGACATAGGATTTAAAGTTAAATAACTCTGGAATCAATTTTTTATTTGGACTGAGTTATCATATCTACCACTCACTGTGTGACATAATATTACTAAGTCTAAATGTTCTCATTTTACAAAAGAGAAAATAATAACACACTTTCAGACCCGGCACAGAGACAAGGGATTGCATCTCTACTGTGAGTGGCATACAGCAAGTGCACAAGAAATGATCGTTATTTTATTATTATTTAACAACCTAGAGACACTCTCAACTAACAAATATACTCTGATGTGTTTATGAGAATGTTTTCAAAATATAGCCAAGCAAAACAAAAGAAAGAATATATATGGAGCAAAAATAAAATCAGGCATTGGAATCTGGGGAATCTCAGCCATTTGTTTACCCAAGCACCTAAATTGGGGGACAGTGGAGCAAACTAGAAGCTCTTTGCCCAGTGGGATATGCTCCAACTCATTTATTTCTGTTCTAGGCACAAGCTGCAATCATCAAGTTGACATCAAGATATCTACAATCTTACTTACAAATAACTCACAGCACACTGACTAAGGACAGAGCTCTCCTCTCCGGAATGGATGCGGGCCTCAATTTTCTATTCCCTGCTCAAACTGCAGTAGGAAGATGCGATGTTTACACAGACTGCTGGCCTTGTCGTTCTACCTTATGAATCAGAACATGAGCTTCTGATGAACCTGGGAGTAGATGCCAAGAGGAGCTGAGAAGCAGGCTAGGTGTGGGCGTCCCCGAGGGTGAATGGTGAGGTGCGAAGCACACGCTGCAGACGGGGCCACAAGAACACAAAAGGATATGATGACACTGGAGATGAATTTTTACTGAGTAGAGTCAATTAACACTAACAAAAACTAGACTATTAGAACAAGCAAGATCAAAAGAGAAGTGGGGGGATTAGGGTGAAAATAGAAAGCAACATGAAAGATAAAGTGATGTTAGCCATAGAGGTAATGGTCTCTAACACGGGAGTGTTTCACTTTACACAGCATTACAACACATCCCCCTACGCAGAGCTTCAGAGAGGAACACACCATCTTTCAGCAGGGAAGTATCAACACTCTACCAATTACAAATAACTAAAACTGAAAGGCAGTGTTTAAAGCCCTAAACTCTTATAAAGACCTAAAATAAGAAGAAATTGCTTCTGTCAAGAATTTCACAAGCAGTACAAACCCAGATCAAAGTTCAAACATAAGATTCTTGGAGCTAGAAGGGTTAGGGAACATACATCTTTTATTTTTATTTTATTTTAGAAAGTGAATAATGAGGCACATTTGGGTCAGGGCAGTCCCATGTACACACATGTTCATATTTCTGTAGTGAAATGTCATACCTTCACAGTAGTATAAGAAATAAAGATCAAAGGATCAAGAGAGTTTAGTTACTAAACATGTCTGGGTTTTCAGAGTTGAGTTCAGAGCTCTGACCAAGAATTTGTCCTCCTAAATTTGGTTGGCTTCATTTTTAGCTAAGTGCCCACAGTACCTATATTAAAACTTTCTGTTACTTCTAACACCTCTCAAGCCACAATGGAGAACCTTCCAGAGCTTTCCATAGTACGAACAGCCTACATGTACCACCACTGCCCCAGAGCATTTGAAGATTATTAAAATCTAGCTTTTAAAATATAACTGGACATCCACTATTCTCTCCTTTTTACCCCGTTTTGCCCTGGGACATTACATCAAGCTTTTGGTTTTGGTCCTTCCAAAGACAATGATAACAACGTCAACGTAACGGTCACCATGACGGAGACACTAAGGACCTGCGCACAGTGTGACAGGCCACAGTGCTTCTTCTGGCTCTCCTGAACTTACAGTGAGAAGACTGGCTAGTGGACGTTCTGACGAGAGTCCCGCACGCCGCCAGCCTTACCTGGCGTGCCCTCCGACGTCTTGATGCCCATCCTGCAGCAGTACTGCGCAATCCCGTAGTCAGCAATCTTGGCGATGATGGCAGCGTTGGGATACAGGGTGAACAGCAGCACATTGTGGGGTTTCAGGTCCCGGTAGATAATCATGGCTGAGTGGAGGTATCTGCCCGAAATGCACAGGGACACTTAGCGAAAGGAGATTACAACAGAATGATGCTGTCATAATTTCCCTCAATCCACTACGTCCATGATGCAAAACATCAAAAATCCTGCACTCTGACCCTAAAACTTTAGAGAGGTTGCAGACAGAAAGCTAAACATGAAATTCTAACACTGCACAGAAGGGTTTTTTTCTTTTTAAAAAATGGATCAAAGCTGGTAAGTGATTTAAATTTTAAAACACAACCATCTCAGGAAAGGTAACAACTTTTTAGGACTGTCTTTCATACACCTTAACAATTACAGAAAGGAAATTCTGAATTATCTTAGTGTAAAATGAATAGTTTACCTGTCTTTAAAATATGAATGTTAAGTAAGAGGCAATAAGATTTTGTTGTAACTTTCATTTATTTCAGTTTTGATTTTCTTACAACTGTATAGCACTTTATCTCAGATTCTGAAATTCCATCACCTGTTTTTATTATTTTTTTCTAAAATGTTTTCAGATGTTTCAGAGAATATTTCCAGCCTTTCAATAATAAAAGATAAAAATAAAAGATTTCTCATTTCATTCTGTTTGAAGGTGTCATTTACTGTAATCTCTGTTCTGTTATAAATTAAGGTGAACAAAGAACATCTGGGCTGAGAGAAGGAATAAAATATTAATGGGAAAATGGCACTGGGGGATATTAAAGTTCCTTTTTTCAGAGATAAATTCATGCAACTTAAAGCAATTAAAGGTGGACATTCAGGCAAGGAATTAAAAATTAGTTGCTATAAAGCATCCGGGAGTTTCAGTCTCGGCAAGGTTTTAGCCATCCTAACAACATCGCTAGAGCGTTCATAGTGACCCAATAACTAACTGAACCCTTTCCACCCTTCCTTGGACATCTACAAAATTTAGCTCTGCCTTCTCTGCACCTCCCATTTCACAGGTATCTCATGACCAACCTTGAGAGAACAATTTCTTAAAGGACTTAAAGGAGGTAAATTTCAATTCTTCATTTCTTTGTGGCTTTTGGTTTGGGTTCACATCACACTAGAGAGCATTTACTCCTTTCCTTCGCTCCCATCATTGTCGCGGGGATTAGGAGCGGAGTCTGGGCTGTCCTGAACCTTCCAGTGATTGACAGTCTAGATAGTCTGTGTCACTTAATTGCATCAACTAATGCGCCAGGTTCTCCCTCTTCCAGGATGCAGTGAGGCCCTCTGACAGTGGGCCTATTCACTTCAGTATGCACAGCGTGGGCTGATAAATAAGATAAATGCACTAATGAAGTTGACCTTAACAAAAAGTAATGAGCTTGAAAGGAAAATTTACTAAGGGCTTATTGAAAGCCCATTAGCTATTCTTCCCTTGCTGAAGAGAAAAGCTGGAGATTAAGAAGGAAAAAGTTAAAGCCAAGTCATACATCATTAAATAGCATCTGAGTCCTTCATAATGTACGCCTCTTTCTGTATATTTATAGAGCACAGACATTTTCAGAATGCTTCCTTAATGCCAAAAAATAGTTAAGGTTAATTTGAAGTAATATCAGTGGGAAAGAGATTATCTAGGCCAGAATGTTCAATTATACAATTTAATCTTCAAAAGTACAATTTAATAGCTTTTAATAAAATAGTAAAAGAGCTTTTGAAATAGTAAGTACAGACCCTGCCTTCCAGACAATAATCCAGCTATAAATGATGCCCAGGCAACAATGAACACTGTCAAATATTCTATTAAAATGAACTATATTTAGTTAAACAGTCATTCTTTAATTATGATTATCATCAGAATTTCTAAGAAACCCCTGCCTTCATAATTTAAAGTCCAATTATATCTCTTCCCAAATAAAATAGTTCAGAACGTAGAAGGCATTTACTCCCTTAACAAACGTGGATTGGCATCTAGGAGAGCCAGTCACGGGGAGGCACAAAGCCACCTTCGCATCTCTGCCCTTCAGAAGCCACCATCCAGGGCAGGCAGGCGCCCAGCTAAAGCTACAGACCGTGTAAGCACCAAAGCTGGTGAAGCAGAAAGGGACAGAGAAAGCATGGAGGCAGAGACAGGAAGTGGACGCCCCCCGGACCGAGCCTTCCAGCGCC